ATATTTAAACACACACAGAGAACAGGAACTAATGGTGGTGGTGGTTTGAGGGGTGGGGAGGAAGAGGAGGCAAGGATGAAGAGGGAAGCTGATGACAGAAGTATCTGAGAATTTAATTCCCCTGAGGAAAAAGACAATGCTTCCCTCTCCACCTTCATGCTAGAGAAAAACCTAGTTTTACTACATTTTGTTCAGGTAACTGTTATATAACCACACTTTTTTTTCTAGGTCCTCTACTGTCTCCCAAATTTTAAATTAAAAAAGAACCATAACAAATAATTAGAAGAGAACTGTATTTAAAGACAGGTCTTGGGAAGAAAACAGATCCAAATACTAGCTTCTTTATTAGGAACTCAACTTTATCTCAGAAAGCCGACTTCGGAAATGAAATGAGCTTACTACGGCAGCACCTCATTTATCTGGCCTCACTGAGGAATGCTATCTTCTTCATTACTCAGACTTACCTGTCTGTAAATGCCAAACCATTTATACTTTAATTCTGGAGACAAATTTCTAAGATTTCATTCTTTTCTGCGGATACAGAGTACATGGAACACAGTCTAAGCGTTCCCTGAGTGCTCACGGGGTTTTTCGTTGGTGACCCAGCACTACACAGTGCTGTAAGCCAGAGAAGCTCCTCAGGAGCCACCGCCATAGCTATGGATTTGCTCCTTCTCCTCCACTGAGGTTTGGAAAAACCAGTATCTTACATCTTTCAGCAAAGGCAGTACACTCCAAGGACTCCCAGACGGGAGCTCCTAGGAGTAAAATACAAATCTTACATGGATGCTGTGATGTTATTCAGGTTGCTCAGAGACCTTCTTTACTCACTTCTTACTTACACTGCTCCTTGTAATGACAAAAAATACCCAAGGATCTGATGACTGTATTCAAAAGTCATCTACGTCTAAAGTTCTTAGAATGACTGTTCCTAATTAACCTTCTGAAAGGTACAAATCACCGTAACTTTCTGAGACTTTTGAGACTTTCTGATGCCTAGAACAGACTATTTCTTTAAAAAGGACTAAAGGCATAATTTTATACATCCATTAAAAATGAGGCTTAATAATAATTAATGTCTTATGTATGAAAAATGATATATTTACAAATGTGTGTAAACACATACATATACATTGCTATAAAAACATACATAATAGAATGTTATGCAGTAAAATATTAAAAGTGGTAAGTTATCTACAGGTGGTATTACATATAGGAGCCCTGGTGGTGCGGTGGTTAAAGAGCTCGGCTGCTAACCAAAAGGTCAGCAGTTCAAATCCACCAGTTGCTCCCTGGAAACCCTATGAGGCAGTCCTATTCTGTCCTATAGGGTTGTTATGAGTCAGAATTGACTCGAAGGCAATGGGCTTTTGGTTTTGGGGTGTTTACATATGATGTTTCTTCTGCGTGCTTTTCTGTAGTCTCTGCATTTCTTCAATGACTAGACATACCTTTTGAAATCCAATATATAAAACAAAAAGTTCAATCAATAATCTGAGAAATGGAGGGCATCACTTTCTATATTTCTCTGTTTTTCCTTTTCAAAACTCCCTTCCTGAAGAATGACCGTCTTCTCTATTTAATTTCAGGAAGAGCTGCTTTAAACACGAAAAGTTCAGAAAATAAAGTGAAGGTAAGTATATATTTAAAATATAATTAGCCAAAAGGAAACGACTCACTATGGAACAGAAAGCAGAGCTAACTTCCTAGGAACAGGTTCTGCACAAATGTACCAGGTTGAATGTTTACCATTATGGCTGCCAGGGTTTTCACGGCTAACTACAATCTGCTTTTAAATAATCACTTTTTAAAAACTATAAAATGTATAGGTACCTAGTAACACAAAAACCAGAGGATAAATTGTCAAAATTCATCATCACTCCCTTAAAAGGAAAACGTGGTTGTGAAAGGCTGAGAAACACTGGGCATCTGTAACTGAAGTAAGGCAGAGAAGCTTACTAACGCAGGTTTAACTGTGGAAGCAGCCCACACGGCATGTGCAGTGTGCACACTAAGGTCAGACAGGGCTGTCTGAGCTCCGGAGTCAGAGGCTAGCTGGGACAGGTGCCAGGTTTCTAGAGGGAGGCTGTTCAGATAAAGGTTTTCTAAAGGTTCATAAAAACAAGATTTCAAGGAGTTTGGCTTTCACAGTAATGAGGCGAACACTTACTTTTACCATCACAGGCTACAATTTTCACTTTATCCACTTTAATAAGCTCTGTCACCTCTCTGAATTCAACATCATTCAAAACAAAAGTCCACACATTATCGCAGAATCTGTACGTATTTAGAGAGCCCTTTAAAACAAAACATTTAGACATACCATGAAGTCATTTTTTCCCTCACATTTTTCTCCAATGTAAGAGAACTCAGCTACCAAGTACATAATTCTTAACAGTATATGTATGATTATTTAACACTTAAAGATTTTCCTTAATTCTAATCATATCACCTACTTAAAAAAACACACGCACACCAACAGAGCCTAGATTCATTTACTAGGAGCTGAACGATATTTTAACTAGTGGACTGTTTCAGCACTGCAGGGTCTGCACATCACTTACCTCAGATCTGAAGACAAGCTCAGTGGAAACCTGAATTTGTATTTCTACTGCCCTCATGTGGCTAAACTGCAAAAGTTCACTGAATCTTTTATAGAAACACTTTTTAAAAGCTACGTATTTATTGAAAGGAGGCCTGGTAATGCAAAAGGTTATTGGCTTGGCGGTTGAAAAAGGTTGGCAGTTCAAGCCCCCCAGCGGCTCTGTGGGAGAAACACCAGGCAATCTGCTTCTGTAAAGATTACAGCCTCCTAGAACCCTACGTGGCTGCTCTACTGTGTCCCATGGGGTCACTAGGAGTCAACAGCACCCGACAATTACCTTTTTATTGTGTGTGTTAATTCTCTCAACTTTTCAGAAGCAGGGCTTTCCAAGAAACACAGATTAATTTTAACCTTGTGATTGTGCTAGATGCATCACTGTATCAGCCACCAACATTTACTGCCCCATGCAACTGATGCTCTTTTAATTAATAAAAAGTTCTTTTTTCAGAGTTGGAAATTTTGAAAGGAGTGTAGTGAAAGTGCAAGGACAGACATCAACAAAATACAATCAAGACCTGTGAGACACATGCACACCACACTCAGCCATGAAATTCAGTATGTGTGAAGACATTTACATGCCTAAAAAATCATCCTCAGTTCAGAAAAAAGCTTTAAGCACAAAAATGTTCCCTGCAGTGTTACCTGTAACAGCAAAAATTGGATTCCATCTAAACGTCCTCTAAAGTGAGAATGATTAAGGAAGAATAGGGCAATGAGAGCAGAACAGTGCTGTGGAGCTGAGCCACTGACTGCAATGGGAGTACAGCAGGGGCACGCAAGGGTGTGGAGGACACAGCACAGAGCCTGAAGAATGGTTAAGAGTTAATCAAAGGTGAGGCGGGACAGTGGAAAGGAAGAGAAAGAGGTGGAGCAGGGCGGTAGGTTCCAAAGCCAGCTCTCAGGCAAAGGAGACCATGGAGAGCCCTATCCTAGGAGCATCGGGAGGTCGGTGAAGGAGGTGAAGCAGGAGTCCCAGGATCAGATTGCATTTTTGGTGATAGCTTGAAAAATGGATTAGAGGAGAGTATGACTGGCGCAGGAGACACCCTGAGAGGCTGAGGCATCTCAGCTGGCTGAATCTGAATCAGAGAGGTGAAAGAGGGGTCAACAGAACTGGAGAGACGTTAAGAGGCAGAACTTCCAGGGCTTGGCAACTAACTGGATATGGTGGGGTGGAGTGGGGAGAGATGGATCTAAGGTAACTCTTAAGTTTTTGGCTCCAGGAACAACGCATTCACAGAAAAAGTCGATTTAGGAGGAAAACTAAACTTGGGAGTTGCTGAGCGTGAGACATATCTGAGTCATGATGTCCAATAAGCAGCTGCAGTTTAAGAGAAAGCACAGGAGACAGAACATAGCGAATTTAGCTAAAGCCTTGGGGTTGGATGAGATCAGTCGAGAAAAGGATGTGCAAGCGCCCTAGGCAACGCTAGGGAACACCAACAATTAAGTGATAGGCAGAGACAGAAGAAAACCACAGAGGAGGCGAGAGGAAGGTGGCAGAGAACAGAAAAGTTACGACAGGATCTGGTTCAAGACGAACGGGTTTCAAAAAAGAGAATCATCAACAATATCACGAACTGTGCAGGAGATAAAGCAGTAATTTGGCAAGAGTAGTTTCAGTGGAGCGGTGAGAAATTAATGTACGACAAACCATCTATGATACAATGCTAAAGGGGAAAAAAAGACACAAAACTGTGAATGTAAAAAATACACTAAATTAGATTTGCTCATTGGCTACAGTTTGAGACTTAGAAGGCAAACAGCCAAATGCCAACCTCAATGTTCATTTCTGACATCCCTAAACTTATGTATAATCAATGCCCTGGGAGTGTGTAGGCTATTTTCATATCCACTGGTGTTAGCTGTGTCAGTAATGGGAACAAGGCATGTCACTGGGATTTATGGTCAGTACATGAATATTCACTTTCAAATACAAACAAAGCATTTTAGATGTGACTTGGAGTGAAAAATCGACTTATACCTTATATGTTAGAATTCTATTAGTTAATTGGAGTACAAATGTATATACTCAATTTTACTGTAAAATTAAAATGCTATGAAACAAAGCAGTTAATTTTATGTACACAATTATTAAATACTTCCCGATATTTAAAAATATATTGATAATATAATTAAGAGAGTACATCGGCAGGATGACTGTTGAGCTGACAAATCTTACAAAATATAAACACAAGATGAGATTACGTAATAATATAATCTAATCCTTTCAGAATTGTTTGGTGAACTAGCATTGCTAACATGAAATAAAATGACCTTTACTAGATTGAAGGTGAGAATCTATTTTGTATCAAGTATTGTATATTCACTAAAAGAATAACCAATTTTTAAAAAATAAAGTTTTACATTTATTTTTTATATTCAAAAAGTTCCTTTCATATGATAATATTTGGTTTTGGCCAAATACTGATTTTACTGATTTTAACACTCACTCATTTGGCCAGATTGTATATTCAAGGCATCTCTAATAAATATATATATTTTTTACATCTATTCACAACTAGGCAATACTTTTTTTTTTTTAATTTAAATAACATCTTCAAAAGTTAACGATACATGTTCATTGTAGAAACATCATAACAGAGAGAGGAAAAAGGAAACTGTGTAAGTAGAGGGCTATTTTTCTTAATCATTAAATGTTTTAATGTTTGATTAATCACTGTTTGAAGCTCAATACTAGTAACATTTAACTAATTATTACTCTGACTTCATCTGGGGCATACATTCTCTCAAACGATACTATGTTCTTTAAGTCTAGTTATACATATCATTCACTCTGAATTTTCTCCCTAAAATTTAATTCAGCTGAAGGCCCTTGGTAAATAGCTTTCAACTTTATTACAAATAAGTTTCAACACATAAATTATTAAAACTTGAACTCTTATAATCGGGATTTTATAACATTTTTCTAAATAATCTCCCTTATTCGTGTTATTTATATATTAGATTATTCATATCACTTATTCATATTACTTATTCAAATAAGCTAACAATTAAAATAATTAACATGCTATTCTTTCAATGGGTCTTTAATCTTATTGCTAGGCCAGTAAAAATTATTATAAATCAAAATATATATTTAAATGTGATCTATCGATATGGCTTTGAAAATCAGGTATTATCAATGTATTATCTCTTCTGTTTTTGCCATATACAGCAAACTAAAACGAAGGCTATTTGCAAATATTCTGGACTTCAAATTGACCAGATGTGCTGTAACCGAGAAGGGCAGGCTGATGAAAGCCTGAACTAGAGGAGCAGAGGGGGGAAAAGAAAAAGCAAGAATGGAAAAGTTAAGTCCTGGTCAAGACTGAGGAATTATTTTTAGCTTTTGGAAAACAGACAAAACACTCTTCAAGAGAAATGCAAATGTCAAATTACCTCTAATTCTAACTAAACAGATCCAAAAACCAAACCAAACCAATTTTACCAGAATCGTAACTATGAAAACGTCAAGAATTCACGGGTCAAACTTTATAGTCTTAAAGATACGTTTTACTTCAGATCAATTTTTAGGCACGTGAAACTGATCAAGAGCCTTACTCATGTGAACGTAACACACGTGGACTTCACTCCTTCACTGCTGTCAAACGGGGCCTCGTCTGTGTGGTTCGGCGGTGCCCCTGACGTGCAGAACAATCACTGGCATGTGTTAAGTCCTCAAATGTTTGTTGAATAAATAATAAGAGGAGGCGGGAGGCAACATGAAGGTTCTAGAAATGACTCTTTACTTCCCTGGACTGGGTGAAGGTCAGAGTTTGAAAAACATAAACTAAACCTTAGCGATTACTCTGCCACTTACCTTCCATCCTGCAGATAATGTCTCAGGCGTTTGCAATCTCAGTAACTCTTCAGGGAAGGCAGTCAAACATACACAGGCTGATTTGTGACACAATGGAATAAAAATCTAAAAACAACTCTGTATCTCACATTACATGGATGAACATTTGAAAGTAAGTCTAATTTACTTATTATAAAACCAGTTCCAAACTCTGATGGAGACCGATATCTTTTCCTCTTACGATCGATACGTATGTAGGGGCCCTGAAGACACTGTTGGAACAACCACTAGTACAGGCTTCTAGATTTAGGAAAACATCCTTACCCTGAAATTGACTCTGTTCCTGACCCTCTGAGCCAATGCTGAATTTATGGCCTTATCAAACTGAAGGAGAACTTGAAGGGCAAGTTGGGGGGTGATCTGTTGAGACTGAGAAAAAGCAAAGGTCACAAATCTTCTTAGGGAAGAACATTAAAGACTTAAGAAAAAACACAGAACCTATACTAAACAAACAAAAACTTAATACATCTTATTGAAGCCCATAAAACATATCTAAACAAACGGACATACTCAGTATGTTCTTAGATGGGAGGTCTATGTAAAAAGATTAATTCTCTAAATATTGAAATAAAAATTCAAAATGCTAATTTAAACCTTGAAAGACTTTACTTATTTGTTAAATGAGACAGAATGATCTCTGGCCTGTCAATCGGGCAGTGTCATGAGTGGCTTGTAGTCAGGACTCTGAGGTTATCTGTCAGTCAGGGAGACTGACTTGCTGGGTCACATGGTCCAAGTGCTTTTACCGCTTTGCCTGGATAAGGGGTATGGCCAGAATAATTAGGCCTATCTAAGTAAAAACGTTTGATTGTTAGTCTCCCACCTGTATGAGCTCATCTAGGCTCTCCTGAAGACTGTTTCCCAAAGTGGTATTTCTGTATAACTGATATGCCATGGCTTAGGTGGAAGAAATGGTTTTTCTTATTCAGGCTTGCATTGATGTCCTAAAAATTTAATATAAAAGTGTTAAAAAGATTATAACATTATAAATTACATATATAACATAGGCTACTTCATATATCCTAACATATACTATTTCAACTCTCAGTAATTGCAAATTGCTATACAGTAATTTTAGAACTACAGGGACTATTTAAAAACAATTTTTCTGTGGTTTTGACGTAGACGCCGACACCCCTTTACGCAGGAAGTTGCTGTTGTTACGTGCCATCAAGTCAGCTCCGAGTCACAGCGACCTGATGTGAAACAGAACAACGCGCTGCCTGGTCCTTCTCAGCTTGAAGAATACGATGAGTAAAGTCATAGAGAAAAGGTGTGCGTCAGGGCTGCATCCTTTCACCACACTTATTCCATCTGTATGCTGAGCAAATATTCTGAGAAGCCAGACTATATGAAGTAAGAATGTGGCATCAGGACTGGGGGAAAGACTCATTAGCGACCTGCAATACGCAGATGACACAACCTTGCTTGCTGAAAGTGAAGAGGACTTGAAGCACTTACTGACAAAGATCAAAGACCACAGCCTTCAGTATGGACTACACTTCAATATAAAAAAAATAAAAATCCTCACAACTGAAACAATAAGCAACATCATGAAAAATGGAGAAAAGACTGTAGTCGTCAAGGATTTCATTTTACCTAGATCCACAATCAACACCCACGAAAGCAGCTGTCAAGAAATCAAGCAACTTATTGCACTGGGCAAAACTACTGTCAAAGACCTCTCTAAAGTGTTAAAAAGCAAAGATGTCACTTTAAGGACTAAGGTGTGCCTGACCCAAGCCACGGTATTTTCAATTGCCTCATATGCATGTGAAAGCTGGACAATGAATAAGGAAGACCTAAGAAGAACTGATGCCTCTGAATTATGGTGTCAGCAAAGATACTGAATATACCACAACTGCCAGAAGAAGGAACAAATCTGTCTTGGAAGAAGTACAGCCAGAATGCTCCTTAGAAGCGAGGATAGTGAGACTTAGTCTCTTGTACTTTGGACATGCTATCAGGAGGGATCAGTCCCTCCAGAAGGACATCATGCTTGGTAGAGGGTCAGCGAAAGGGATGGACTGACACAGTGGCTGCAACAATGAGCTCAAACATAGCAATGACTGTGAGGATGGCACAGGACCGGGCAGTGTTTCATTCTGTTGTACACAGGGTTTCTATGAGTGGAACCAACTCAACGGCACCTAACAACAACAAAGCTGTAGAAAGGTGAAATGATAAGGTCTGTGGAGAGAACTGTTCTGTATATTAGGGTGGAACAATGAACAGGGAGCGTCAGGAGATGAGGCTGACAGAAAAGCATGGATGGACTTTGGCCAGGATTTTACAGTGCAGGTAACGGGGAGCCATTGAAGCATTTTAGGCAGGAAAGGCCAGCCAAATGGACAGCAATGTGAAGAATGCATTTGAAGGCAAGATTAGAGAGGGCTGAGGGCTAGACCAGCGTAGCAGTAGTAGATTTAACAAACAGTTACTGAGCTTCTGCTACATGTCAGACAGAAGACTGCTGACCTCGTGGCACTTTCAGTCTAGAAATGACATGAGGAGATACATTTGAGGAATCATCATCAGGTAAAAATCAGCAGAACAGTCAGTTTTCACATTATACAGCTTATCAGTAACATCTGACACAGTAAGTCATTTCTGCCTTCTTAAAAATTTTTTTTTTTTTTTGGCTTGTGGGACATCACCCTCAGTTCTCTCCTCCTACCTCACAGGTACCCCTGCACTTCTTGTTTTCTTTTGCTGGTTCCTCCTCAGCTTCCTGATTTCTAACTATGGAAATGCCCTAAGGCATCCAGGCTTATGACTTCAAATACCATTTATCTGCTGATGAGGAGTCCTGGTGGTGCAATGGTTAAGTGTTTGGCTGCTAACTGAAAGGTCAAACCCACCAACTGCTCCACAGGAGAAAAGACCTGGCAATCTGATCCTGTAAAGATTACAGCCTAGGAAACCCTACAGGGCAGTTCTACTGTCACACAGGGTCACTGTGAGTGGGAATTGATTCGACAGCACACAACAACATCTGCTGATGACTCCCGCATTTCTATATCCAGCCCTGACTTCTCCCCTTGGACCCACATATAAAGCTGCCTAGTTGACAACAGATGGAAATATCAAGTATCTCAGATTTAATTTGTCATAAAATCAAATTCCTGATACTACTCCCCAAAACCTGCTCTGTCCTGTCTCCCCACCTCAGTAAACAGTAACTCTGATCTCCCAGTAACACTGCCCCAAAACCTTAAGTCATCAATAACTTCCTCCCAACACACATCTATCCCACCAGGCAATCCTTTCCGCTCTTCCTTCTAATTATAGCCAGACTCTGACAACTTCTACCATCTCCACTGCTGCCACTCTGCCCAAGTCACCATCATGTCACTAAGATTACCATTAAGTGATCTGCTCTCCCTGTTTCTACCCCTGCCCACCCACCGCCACTCCCTCACAACAATCACTGAGCCTTTTAAGACGTTAAGTCAAACCACATCACTCATCCATCCAAAATCCTCCAGTGGCAGCATCTCATCTCACCCAGAAAAAGAAGTCCTTCCAATGGTTTGCAAGACCTACAAGACCTGGGCGCCCCACTATCTCTCTGACCTTAGCTTCCCCTGCTCAGCCCCTCACTCTGCTCCAGTCAGACTGGCTCCTTGCTATTCTTCAATACAACAGGCGTGTTCTTGCTACAAGGACTTTGCACTGACTGTTCTTGCTGTGAACATTCTTCCAAGATACCTGCATGGTTCTGCCCTCATCGCATTCATCTCTGCTCCAATGTCCCCTAATCAAAGAGGTGTTCTGTGACCAATGTATAGAAACGAATTACCCCTTTCCTCCTCACACTGCTTTGTTTTCATTCATACCAATAATCAAAGCTGATGCATATGTGCTTATTTTTAAGTCTCTATCTACTAAAATATATGCTTCATGAAGGCAGAGACTTTTGTTCAGTTATATATTTACCGCCTAGGACAGCTGCCTAGTATGCAATATGTATTCAGTAAGTACTTGTGTGAGTAAATGACTTGGTGGTATGTCAAACTGCTGGTATCTTAATATTACAGATGTATCCAAGTGTGACACAAAGTTTTCTACTTTATAGAAGAAAGTGAAGCAACGAACTTTCAGATTCTCACAACCACAACTAACTGCCTACCAACATCCACACCCATATACTGCGCCTTCCTGTCACTGTATCTGATGTATGCTTTTATCTAAATCAGTCCTTCCACACTCAAGAAAACTGCTCCAACAAGTTGACTGTTTCTTTTCTCCCTCACCATCAAATCTCTCCTCTCTACAGATCATTCTCATTAGCAAACAAACAGGCGGATACTTCTCCCACCTTAAAAAAGATTAAAAAAACCTCCATCCATTTCCCCTGCCAATTACTGTCCTAATTCTCTATTCCCTTTGCCGCAGAACTCCTAACAGTCTCCCATCCATTTTCTTCTTAAACTCAGTCCCTTCTTCTTCTTTTTTTTTTGGCCTCCAGAACTCAAAAGAAACAGAAGGTCAAGATCAGCTATGACACTGCCAAAGCCAGTTCTCAATCCTCTCCAGACCTGAGTATCTGGCACAGTTGATCAACCTTCCCCTTTGAGAAAGGATCTTCACTTGGCTTCTGGGACACCATGCTTTTTGGATTGTCCTCTTATCTCACTGGATCCCCCTTCCCAACATCCCTTCTTGGTTAAGCCTCTTCTCTCTGAACTCTTACTGTCACAGGATAAAATCCTTGACAGCGGCTGCTTGTTGTGATAACATTCCTTAGTGATAACATTCAGTCTCACGGCTTTGAAGACTCCTGCTGATGATTTCCAGTCACACACTAGTGCAGACCTCTCGCCTGTATTCACTCCTGGGTCCAACTGTGTACTCACCAACTCCACTTGAAATCTTTTCCATCTCAGCTGATATAACTCCATATTCCATGGTCTTAGGCAAAACCTTGGAAATCATACTCCACTCCTCACACCCCTCATCTTACCCACCACATCCAATCCCTAGCAAATCCTGTAAATTCTGCCTTCAAAATGCATTCGAAACCCAGCCATTCCTCACCGTCTCCCCTGTTTCATCCTGCTGTGAAGCACTGTCATCTGTCCTTTGGCTTACTGCCTCCTAGCTGGTTTCCCTGTTTCCACGCCTGCCCCTGCTACACTCATCGCAATTTAGCAGCCAAGGTGATCTTTTGAAACACAGGTTATGACATGTCTGTCTTCTGCTCAGAACCGCCACGGCTCCCATTTGACTGAGCTCTTACAAAGATCCAGCTATCCATTACCTCTGACCTTATCCACTATTCATATCCCCCTTGCTTACTCCCTTTCCAGATAGGCTAACTTCCCTGCCATTCCTTGAACATGACAGGCATGCTCCTGGCCCAGAGCCTTTTGTCCTTTCTGCCTGGAATGCTCTTTTCCCCGATAATCATTTGGCTAACTCTCTCAATTCTTTAAAGTCTTTGCTCAGGTACACCATATTTAAACACCAACACCCACCTCCACTTTGGAACATACCCAACCTCCTTATCCTGTTCTAGTGTTCTGACGGCACCATCGCCTTCTAGCGTATCATACAGTTTACTTATCGCATGCCTCCTCCAATAGGGTGCAAACTACTCAAGGGCAAACAGTTTTGTCTGGTTCGTTTGCTGAAGTAAATCAGGCACTTAGAGCAGTACTGGATACACAGTAGGAGCCAAAGAAACATTTTTCAATAAATTAGTGAAGGCAAAACATCAGGAAAGAAGTGTGGGGTGTGTGTAGGGGCGGAGGGAGGTAAGGAAGGGTCAAAAGTGCAAGAAAAGAGGTCTCAATCAGCAGATAAAAAACCGACAACGTAGGAGTACAGAATCTTGTGTCATGCTCCACTTGACAAAAGTCTAAGAAAAAACAGCTATACGTTATCTAAACATTTGTTAAAATTACTCACTGGAACGAACTCACATTCTTAAAAATTCTTTGTGAAGTGTTCACGTATTTTAGACGTGATATAAGCCACAGAAACTTAGGACTACCTCATTTTGCAGTTTAGAAATTTAATTTAGAAGGCTACCGATTCGGAAGTGATTAAACAGTCCTCGTCCTTCTTGATCAAACAACCCAGTTTAAATTCCTTCCTCGGTCGGAGTTCTCACGAAGAAAGTTGGAAGGCAGACTTCAAACACGCGGGAAGCACAGGAAGGAGACCCCTCTGGAACGCGCTCCCTGGGTATTCGGCAACCACCACCAACCAAGCAGCCGGGTCGCTAACCTGGACGCCTGAAGACCATCACCCGGCTCAGGCGCCGCTGCGAGGCTGACGCCCTCTCCCAGCTGCGCTCAGCTGCGGGTGGTGCGCGTGGGCGCCCCGCTGACACGTCTCCCGCCGCTCGCCTCCCGTGTCGGTACCGACCCGGGCATCCCCGCAGCGAAGCCGGTGCCCGGCCGACCCTGCGCACCGGAACCAAGGGCCTTCAAGCCCCCTCGCAGAGCCCAGCCGCAGCCCCAGCTCGGGGGCCGGCAGGGAGCGCGGGCCCGGCTTTCCCTCCCCGCCCCAGCTCACCCGGTACCTGTGGGGAAGGCGCTTCCCGCCGCCGAGCGGACAGCAGCCCTACAGGAGCCTCCTTCCAGACCACCTCTTCAGCGGCCGCAGAAACCGCAGCCCTCGGCGACGACCCGGAAGTGCTCGCGGAACCCGGAAGTGACACCACTTCAGAGGCCCGCCCACTTCTTGCTTGCGCCCGCCACTCACGACGTGCGCGGGAAGGGCGGGTGTGGAGAGAGGGGTATGGAGCTGGCTTAGAACAGCTAAATAAATTAAAACCCAAACCCGCTGCCGTCACTTCCGACTCATAGTGACCCTATAGGGCGGAGGAGAACTGCCCCACAGGGTTTCCAAAGAGCGGCTGCTCGATTCGAACTGCCGACCTTTCGGTTAGTAGCCGAGCTTTTAACCACTGCGCCACCAGGGCTCATTAGAATAGCCCACAGGCTTACTTTTCCAATAGCCAGGGTGCAGAAGCCAGCTTATGTGATCCTTTTTAAGGAGATTATAATATTTAGGGACTAATCTCCACTGTTAGATGCCCAATTTAAGAAATGTAGGCCCGGCAACTCGAAGACAAATTCTTAAGATTATGGCAGGGTATTTCTTTGACCATTCAAAACAGGGCTGCAATTCATTTAGCCTCAACAAGCTTTCAGTTTGCGATGAATGAAGAATTTTAACTTCGGATAATTTATATTTAAAACTTTGTGTCTAACGCGTAACAAATATTTTAATATGTATTTCGAGTTTACATAATGCCAATTTCCTTTGTCAGTGCATGGTATGCTAACTGTGGATTAAAGCAAACAGTAAATGCAAAAACAAGCGTCCAGAACTGGAACCTCCCAGGTGGTCTATGAACAGGTTCTCATTATGCTATTTTTGAGTTATTTCTTGAACTGATTTCACCCTAGGATTCCCCACCAATTAAAATAATTCTAAACCGTGAAATACCAAGTTTGATTATAGTTAAGACATTGTTTACAATTAAACCAGGGTGCAGCCAGACTACATAAAGAGAAACAAGAGTAAAGTTCTAAAACGATCTGAAAGGTTTACAAGATAATCCAGGGTAAAAAATTAGCAGCAGAGTCGAAAATAGAAAAATGTGATAAAATGAGGCAAAAACAAAATTTCCAATTCATTTATTTAAAGTCATTAATGTTGCAAAAATAAGCTGTGCAACAAACCAGGACAGGAGTTACTGTAATTCCTTACAGGCCAAAGGAAAACGAAATATTACATCTCCTTAGTAAATCAGACCAGCCCCAGGATTTCTTATAGGGACCACATCAACAGTTAGTTTACAAACAGAGTTACCAGAACTGAATTTCTCACCCTGTAAACTGACAGGACTAGTCTAGGCAACATCACCTGAATAGCTGTAAACACGATCACACTACATTAATTTTGTCTAAATGACAGCATGTGAACTTGTGGTAACAAAGTATTTTTGAAATTAAAGTGCATTCGTTCTAACAAACTCCGGATTGTGTTCTACATGAATGGTGTCCCAACAGCTGTTATCAAGTCAGTGGGCATGAACACCACCAATATTTACTAGCGAATTTTAAACACCTGTTTAAGGGACGTAACTTTAGACAGCCCGTATACAAAAAGTGCAGTGGAGCAGCTGACAGTTTTTAACAGTATTTTACACATTCCTCCTTAGTCAAAATGAATGTGAAAACACATAAAAATCTCAAAATTCACATTTTAACCCTTTTAAGAATGTCTTATAAAATTAGACAGTTATCTGCAACTGCCTAATATCCCCATAGTATTAAACTCTTGGTCTGGTGCTTGATTTGTTATCAAATGCTTTATGTGATTTTTTACATAGCATTTTTTTTTTTAATTTAGTTCTCAAAACAAGAAATGAGATCACACACACACACACACACACACACACAGTTGCAACCAATGGTTCTGCGTAACTTTTAGTATCACTCTTTACCGTTGCACACTCCGCCCTATTTCGGTTACTATTTAGAACTTTGGAGTCCCTGGGTGGTGCACACGGTTAATGTGCTCAGCTGCTGAAAGGCTGGAAATTCAAGTCTACCAGAGGCACCTGAGAAGAAAGGCCTGGCAACCCACTTCTGAAAAATCAGCCACTGAATACCCTATTGAGCACAATTCTACTCTGACACACACGAGCTGGAATCAACTTGATGACAACCGACATTTAGAAGGTTAAAGGAAAATTACATGACTGGGCCTCATCATTGACCTAATGCATTCAGAATCTTAGGAAGGGGTGGGGGAACGTGAAGGCCACTCGTTAACTCTTCTGTACCAGCTCAGAGCATGGAATAGATAACTCTCCCCATCCCTTCTCTCACCATGCAGCTGACCCTCCCAGCAACTCAGTCTACACAATTCCTCTTCTCTAAGACAAGCTCTCTAACAGAATAGTGGGCCTAACTTATTAAGTACATTGATTCTTCCATCTACCCCATCCCTCTGACATTTGTTTTATGATTCACTTTTCAAATATACCTATAGGTTGGGAAAGAACAGGCATCAAAACAAAGTAGAATGGTGTAGTGATCTCTATTTTCAGCCTGTCTCCTCCTCCCTTCTGATGGAGTGATGTCAATTGTCCACATATAACGTGGGACAGGGAAGATGAAGCTACTGTCATCTTGGATACAACCACACCAACCTCATTAGGAAACTGGCTACCTCTACTGAACAAATCCTAATTTAGCTGTCAATTAAATCTAAAAAGCCACTTCTGCATTAAATCAAGCACTCTTCCAAATTCCCTGAGCAGTCACATAAAAATAGATAGTAATGCTATATAGTCATTTAAAGGAAGTCTCTACCAAAAAGTGGATCCTTTACCTTCTAAAAATTTCTGGGATTATTTTACAGTGGAAGAAATCATAGCTACAGATATATATACCCGTCAATCAGCAGACTTCAGTATTCAGTGTGGTGTACTAGACAGTGATGTCCATTTTGGAAGACTGCATTCAAGTATACCAACCACAGAATATGAAAAAGAACCCAGTCCTAAGCTTTCATCTGAGCAGTGGAACTGCTGACCCTCTCTGTTTAAACCTGCTTCTGTATGAGGAGACACAGAAAGCAGAGGAAAATATGAACTCTTGGAAGCACAAGCACAATTTATTTCAATGTATTATCAGTCTTTTTCCCCTTTGCTCCCACGTCTCCTTATTGACACATTCTGTGTGTCGCCCGCCATGTTTTCTTGCTGGATCCAGGAATAGCAGCACCAGCAGCCACACGTGCAGTACTTCCCTCAACAGGGTTAAATTCAGTGGCATCTTAGACAACAGCTAACTCTTCACCCCTTTATAGTTTTCTTTCTCTTACTTCCTTATTTTATCTTCCTACCCAATTGCCCTGCCAGACTCTATTAGACCATATTTTTTCATACCTCCCTCTGAGTTAAAGACTGTTAAGCTTAAATTGTGCGGTCAATGTCCTAGTAGAATGCAGGCTTTTTCTAGTTAAAAAAAAAAAAAAAAGTCAGGGAAAGTTTTCACTTTTGGAACAAGTTGCATCTATAGTTAGAACAATGATTGCAAAAGCAAGAGTCAATAACACAATAAAGAGTTAAAATCATTCCTTGCATTTTTCAAACAGAAGAACTGAGTACTTAATATGGTGGAAAACCACCTATTAAAACACTCAGCCCCTTTGAACAAGACCCACAGATGAAAGCCTACTCAAAATGCTCTATAAACGAAGAATGTGATCACGTTTCACTAGGACCCTTTACCCATAATACCCACACTATGGATTCAGAAGGAATGCCTCAGTTGTTGGTGGTCTCTTCCCCAACACGAGTGTCGCTGAGATTTGTGCAGTAATGGTTTTGGCTTTATTCACCACAATGGCATTAGTTCAGAGTCTGCCTACAGGTGCTGAGGGTAAATCCAGGATAAACCAAGAAGCTGCTCAGGAATCTCTCATGTTGGGAAGCCCCCAGCATCTCCACGACTGGATTTAAGTTAGCGCGCCAAGTTCATGACCGAGGAGGACAAAAACGAAAGGAAAACCCCCTTTTGTAACAGGAACTTCATACTAAGAAAGGCAATGGTAAGAGCCACATGTGTGTTCAGTCTAGAACAGAATAAACCTTAAAAACTTAGCTCACATCCACTTCGGTTTTGCTACCCTAGGTCACTCTTGTGTAAAATACCTTCGAGGCAGGGCTGCAGAGTAGTGTGCTTGGAGGGTATTAAGTTTACCAAATACGTATGGATCACACCAGTATACAGACACAGTACTAGATTCGTTCACGTACCTGAACGTTACTGAATCACACTTAACAGCCCCAGCCTGTGGTAAAGCTGCTGTTGTAGAGTGGTTCTGTGCATAATTAAGTTCTTGGAAGCACAAGCACAATTTATTTCAATGTAAAGTACAGGTATTTATCAAATTAAACAAGGAGTTTATACACTTTTATCAAATGTGTCATCAAAAACAGCACAGTACAATGGTGCTCTAAGACTTACAAAGTTAACCTAATTTACAGTACTGTCAAATACAATTCAACAGAAATGTGGAAACATACCATAAGTGACTAGGTCAAACACCTACCATTTACAAGGAACTGATATGGAAGTATTTTGGTAAAGTGCCCACACTGAGAGCAGTTTAAAAAGCAGCCCTTGTTTTCTACGGAGGAAGTAGTGACAGTAAATAACTCATCACATTCTCTCTAACAGCACACAGCACTCATACCAGGTCCGGGGAGTCATACCCTGGACACACAGCTTATTTCACATTAGTGAACAAATTTAAGATTTTTATAAAGTTCTGACTTTTGGCCAGAAGATAAAATGTTCCATATATACATCTATACACAGTCCAATTCCAAATCTCTTAAATTCTCTAGCTCCAAAGATGGCTTTTTGACTTGTCTTTAAGCTTAAAAAGGAAGGTGTGCAATGCACTTGTATTTGAGCTTCAGAATTAAGGAACAATATACATTATGTGAAAAAAAAATTAGGATAGTACTAATCTACTTAGATTATGTACATAAACAAACAGGATCTTTGGGCATTCATGAGACCCAGTTTAACTGTCTCTCACTTCTAAGCAACTTAATTTTCTAAGTTACCCAGGAAATGTATCTAACCATTTACAAAAACAAAATTTCTAACATGCACTTTACAAAATCATGGTCTTATTTATCTGCATATTTTTCCACAAGACGGTATACATTAAAAAATATTGCTCAAAAACATAAAAATATATATTATCTCTTTCCTTTACCATTTATGCATATAAATATTTTACTGAACGAAGATGCATCATTCAATAAACAAATCCAAAAACCGCTTTATATAAAGTGTGGTTCTGATACTGCAATATAAAATATAAAATGATTACAATATAATTAGCTATTAAAGAGCTAAATTCAAGAGATTTGCAAACCAATACAGCAGTGAACAGTCTCTTGTACAAAAGTCCGTTAAGAAAAAGTCAAGTCAATTTGTAATGGGTTACATAAAAATAAGGGTCAATAAATGCATTATAAATGCAAAAAAAAAAAAAAAGAGCATTGCTTCATTGACCCATTCTTCAGTCTTGTGTGGACTAGATGCCAAACTTACTGTTCACTTTTTGGCTCATCTTGTTTTCCATTAAGCTCTTGATCAACTCTGTTAAAAACAATACAGATAATGAAAGACCAGCGACTGAATGATTTTCTTTCTAAAATAAGTACTTTTAGCACAGAATATCATTCTGTTAAAAACAAAGCTTTGCAAAGAAGCAAACGTAGTAAAAAAGGTTACCGAACATTACTTCCCCAACCAGGAAAGAGAAATTTTAAAGGCAAGACAACACTGGCAAGAATCGTAACTCTTTTTTTTTTTTTTTAACAATTACAAAATATCTTACATAAACGTACAATATATTTTCTTAAAGTTCAAAGTACAACTCCATATTAAAATGTTGAACTGTAGTTTGGCTGGAGCAAAGATCCAAGTGATGAGAGAGACTGGCAGGAAAAACAACTTCTTAAAAAATGATTTTGTTAGCTAAAATAATAAAGTGCCACTAATGCCACCAATTGATCAATTAATATTTTTAAATTAAGCGATAAAAACGCATGTTCACAGAAACCATAACTGTTCTCCAAGATTTATGGGTAGACTAGGAATGTCCTTCACTTGGTTTAACAGTAAAGAGCCCTAAGAATTTAACATTCAGAAATATCTAGATGAAGATTAAAAATCTCAGTGGAACTAGTGGTAGGCTGCACAAAGACCATACCAAAATTTAAGCAAGTGAGGATGAGAAGACTACATAGTTACCACACAATTATAGAGAACCCTCCAAAGATAATACACAACAATCTAGCACTACTACATTTGTAGGAGTCTGAATGACCGATGGGGGGTATTGAAGCCATCTGGTATGACGTATGAAGGTACTTTCCACACTGGTTTCCATTACTGTGATCATCATGCGCCTGAACATGACTGAATCAGACCTAAAAGCCCTGGCCTGTGCTAAAGCCAGATTATCAACAGTTAAAAATATTTTTATAATGGTATCAAAAATTTCAAAGGTACGCACTCTTGATATGGCATGTAATATATACCACTATTTTCCACATCTGAAATACCCTTATGAACTACCTTATGAACCAATTTCATAATGACTTTGTTTTTAAACTTAGTGGAAATATTTTAAGAATGGGTCACATGTGCACTGAGTGGGCTGTACCACTTAAAGTCATTACACTCCAGCACTCACAGTTTTGTACCCCCCACCCCCATCACCAGGCCTCAACGGGGACAGTCCACCCTCGGTAAGC